CGCAGACACTGTGCAGAAAATCGACATTCTGTTCTCTGATTGGCCTGGACGAAAATTTTCCCAAAGAAATCCTTGTCTATGGGAGAAATTCTAGACGTAGCAGTGAAGGGAAACAACTATACAGGTGTGATGGAGAGAGTTCAATCCAAAAGGATGTCAGAATGGTATATATTTACACTTTTTTCACACTTATATTTACACTTCTCATCAACCACAATCAAATTCACTCTATCCATGGGCTCCATGTGTCTGGATAGATTTATATTTATTTATTTTTCTGAACAATGAAAGGATGGAATAAAAACAAGTCAAAGTTTAAAAGAAATGAAATACTTTTTGCATTTTTGAAAAGGAGTAGAAAGTACAGATAATTGAATTAAAATGTAAGAAGTAAAAAATAGTCTGAAAAATAATCACTCCACTAAAGTATAAATAACCAAAATTACTACTTAAGTAAAGTAACAAAGTATTTGTACTTAGTTACTTGACACCTCTGCCAACCACCAACATTGAATGTCCGTGACCTTTGATCCCTTAAGCGGCACTGCATTAAAAATCAACATCATCCCGTAACAGATATTACCACATAGACTCAGGAACTCATCAGAAAACCTTTGTCAGTGAACACAGTTCGTCTCTACATCTACCAGTGCAAGTTAAAACTCTACCATGCAAAGATAATGCCAGATATTAACAACACCCAGAAATGCTGTCTGCTTCTCTGGGCACGAGCTAATCTGAGACGGATTGACGCAAAGTGGAAAAGTGTCCTGTGGTCTGACGAGTACACGCTTCAAATTGTTTTTGAAAATCATGGAAGTCGTGTCCTCCGGGCCTAAGAGGAAAAGGACTGTCTGAATTGATATCAGCACAAAGTTCAAAAGCCAGCCTCTCTGATGACATGGGGGTGTATCAGTGCCCATGGTATGGGTAACTTGCAGATCTGTAAAGGCACAATTAATACAGGTTTTTGGAGCAACATACGCTTCCATCCAAGCCACGTCTTTTTCAGTGATGTCCTGCTTATTTCAGGAAGACAATGCCAAGACACATTCTGCACGTGTTACAAGGACTGTTGACAAACTGAAGTTGTACATCAAGCAAGAATGAGAGAATTCCACCTAAAAAACTTCAACTATTTGTGTCTTTAGTTCCCAAGCACTTATTGAGGGTTAAAAAGGTTATGTAACACAGTGGTAAACATGACCCTGTCCCAGCTTTTGTGGAATGTGCTGCAGCCATCAAATTCAAAATGAGTGAATATTTGCAAAGAACCAATAAAGATTTTCCATTTGATCATAAATATCTTGCCTTTGTGTTGAATTCAATTAAATATGAGTTGAAAACAAAGTATTTGCAAATCATCATATTTTGTTTTATTTAAGCTTTACACAACATCCCAACTTCCTTGTAATTGCAGTTCTTTTTGACATCTGCATTTTGTGGCTTTAACTATGCTCCTTTTATGCACCACACTGCAGTGATTTCACAGTACAGTAGTTGCTTGTATGGACAATGCTGCAGACGTCTGCAAGAAGAGTAATATTATTCTCCATTTGCATAAGTTCTGATGAATTTGCAAACTTTTAGATGGATACTTAGAATCAGGCCAACACATTGAGGTTAAGCTTCTGGATGGATATTTTTGAAAAACCTGCTTTAAAACCTCTCGCGCAGCTCCTAATGTAGAATTACATTAGGGAAAATTAGTCTGTTCAACCATCTGCCCTGTACCAAAAGGAGCTGGAGCTGATAATTATTGTGACTTCTGCCATTTGATCCAGTGCTCAAAGCCAACTCTGACTCTGAACTCAGCAGTCAGCTGTTAGTGGGAGCTGGTGGGATTTTTCTCCAGTGGGACAAGAGCTTTAATAACCTCTAACTCCTGGCTGTGCCACTTCTGCCACTATATGTCATGGTTGTTTGGGGGAAAATGTAGTAATCTGCACCCATCAACGAGTATTGAGCCCTTTTTTCATTTCAAAGATGACATGTTGTTTAAAAAATACGAATTCTGAATGTGTTTGGCAGACGTCTTGATAGTTTTCTCTGTAAGTCTCTTCAAATGTGACCTTTTCATCACTTGGTGACAATTAATTTCACATCTCCCCCTCAGGTTCTCTCAATTATTTTGAATTTACAACAATTAGCATGCATGGAATGCACACATCGTTACGGAGATGGTAATGGTGATTTAATGAACTGAATTACCAGCCTACACCAAACCTCAGGTGTGATGAAGACGACCTGACAGCATCCTTTTCAGCTGCACTCACTCTACGTGTTTGTGTAAGTGTAAATGGTCCCGACAGAGGTTGAATGTTGCAGGGAAAGATGCTGCCTCCTGTCAAAGTTGCCGTCTGTCTCATTCATCAACTGGATTTCTTCCCTCTGCTGTAACTCTGCTCTTTTGCAGCTGAATCGAATTAAAGACAAAGCGAACGTGCAACAGAGCCAGGACAGAAACAAAAGATGGTGCCCAAGGGTTTAAATACAGGAAATTCTGAGTTAAAGGTTAAAAACATATATTTTTTAAATGGGGGTAATTTTTTCCCCTTGTTTCAGGGTTTGCTTTAATAATCCTTTTCTTGTATGGTAAATCATATGACGTAAAAGATGACAGGGCATTACCTTTTAAATATCTGCATTTTGTTATATAACCATCCTTAATCCTTATCTTCCCATTCTGTCACCTTATCCTCTTTGTTTCTGCATCATGCATGTAAAACCTCGTCAGTTTTCTTCTCTGTATTCCTTCCATCTCCTCTACT